AGACGTTATATAATTTCAAAGTAATGCCGCAAAAGTAAATATAGGATTTTTTACTACAGATTGAGGGTAATTTGTATAATTTCGTTCAGTTTTTCAGCTATTTAACAAAAATGATAAAGCCCGTGACAGATCCACCCTCGCTCTGAAAACTGGTTTTTTTTTTATCTTTTACCTTATTAATCATTTATACATGAGCAGACCGAGAAACAACAATATCTTTTGCGTGCCTGCTTTGGAAATCTCCGAATTAACGGTTTTATTCAATTTTACACGTTTTATTTACACACCAAAGTTTTTGCTGCAGTGATTAAGTGCTACTGGTAGCATTTTAATTGAGGAAGTTGTAAAAAAGCCTCATCTTTTGTCCCCGATTCGCCAGAATATTGCAGTTTCACAAATTTCATTTCTTTTGTAGTTTTGGTTTTTGAGTTTCAAAATTAAAATCTTAAATTCCAGGTTCTTTTCTTTATGATTTTTTTTCGGGGGTCGGTATATACCTCAGTTGACGTTCGCCCCTATTGCACGGTTTAGCGGCGCATATTACGTATCGGCCATATCGTTTATGACTACTTACTTTTTGATTTGGAAATAATAAAATATTGGCAATAAACTAACAGTTTTTATTTCCGTTTTGTGCCTTAGAAAGTTTAGATGACCATTCTACTTCTTCCACTCATCTTAGTTGAACGTAGGCATTTGAAAACTTTGGCCATACTTCTAGGCCGCTAAAGGAACGTAACTCGTGTTTCACAGTAAAAAGTTATTTGCAGTTTAAAAAGGCATACAGGAAAAGCTGTAGATACTCTTTCTTAAACCCTAATCATGTGTTGGTTTTATAAATCGTACTGCAAGTATAAACAGTTCTTCTTTTACAACTGCAAATTTTAACCATTGTCAGTAAAAAAATTACCAATTTTACACGTTTGCGTTGACATTTTCAGAATGGAATATATAAATTATCTAAAACCTTCATAAGCTTTCAAAACAATAGGTGCAGCCTCAAAATACACATAAATTGCAGCATAGATTCCAGAAATTTTCATCATAAATGACGAAATCCAACTTATAATGTAAATTCCATAATGCTTCTAAGCAGCAGTATAAATAAAAACTTTGATCATTAATTTACTGAAGAGTAGTAGGTAGGTAGGTGAAAATTGAATGCTTATAAGATTTTCCCGGCTTTAATTCACAGTTATTTCAAAAAAGTTTTCTGGAAGCTCACGAACACTCCTAAAAAACTTGTCTGATAACTCTCGAAGATTTCTGACATCTGGGTTACACCTCTGTTTTCTAAGTTCAGCTATTACTGCAACGAGCGGTTACGGAGCTTTTTAAGTCTGATTCTTTAGAAGCTTCTTCCACTGTAACGAGAAAAAACTGAGAGCACCTGGCTAAAAAAATAGAAAAAATTTCAGACAGTATAATTAACGTGAAGGTAGAACAATACCTTACACTATGTTCTGGTGCTGTTTTGTCATAGGAGGATAGCTGTTTTACTTGGGATCAGAACCGCTGCTAGAACCACTAGTTAATTAGAACTGTTACACTGTTTTAAATATATTTTATAACTTTCATTTTACATTTGGCTGTAACTTCTAATTACAAGTTTATTTTTATTTTTATTCATCTTTACATTTTTTCAAATAAGGTTCAAAAGATGGAGACTAGAATACATAAGAAAAGGAGGAGGTTGAATGAGAAAAATAAGAGTAAATTACTAGAAAGCAATAAACAAAAAATATGATCAGATGAAAACAATAACAAAAAAACAAAAGTGGAAATGAAAAATATAAAGTTCAGGCGGGAGCTCAGTAGATGATTGAGGGCACATTTAAAGAACTCGAGCATTTCGTACTTGCTATTCCGATCTTAAGTCCAACGACGAGTCGGTTCTGAGGTTATGTGCTTACAACTAAGTTGAGTATTGAACAAACGTTCAATTTTCAATTTTTTCAAATGATTACTTTCAAATTTTTTTTTTTTTGACCTGAGAACAATTTTTTTTGTCATAGTTACTCTTTTGTGACATTAAAGACGTTGTTTATATCTCAGTTATATCTCAGTAAAGCAGACCATTCTACTGACCTGCAGATTGACGTTAAAAGATGGTGCCAACAGAGAAATGAAGTCGCGGTGTTTGACAAATTACAAGAAAGGTAGGCGTATTTCATACAATTTATTGTTGTGTGTATCGGTCCAAATTACATTATTATATGATTCTGCACCTTTTTTTTTTGAAGTCTGCCGTTTTATACGTTGTTCACAACGTTTCCGTAGCCCCCGATAAACTGTTAAAGACGCCGTTCTGATAAATATGCATGGAAGTACATTTTGTGTAGAATTTTTGCACTTTGGTTTGTTGAAAACATCGTTTTAGTGCTGCACCCCTGATTCAAAGATTAAAATTGGATTTTAGAAGTTGTATGCGTTGTGTTCTGGAATACAGTTCTCTGATGAACTTTATAAATCCTTACAGCAGGTGTATGATTCTAATTGCGGTTGTTTTTTGAGCGTGCGGTTTTTACATCTATTTTGTAAAAGTAGCTATGCAAAGTGAACAGGTAATGATGTTAGCAGCAAAAAAAAAAAAGGGTGAAGAAGATGTGCTGTATAAAACTTTTTGCTCTATTTGTATTTTCGACAGTAAGGGTAGAAATTCATCTTCGTATTGTAGTTGCCCAGTGGCTGCACAAATTCTGCATTTTAATTCTCTCTTTTCAGATAAACGACTAACAACAGTAATCAAATAGAATTTTCTTTTATTGTATAAACTGTAACTGCAGGTTGGTGTTGTTGATATTATTAAATTTTTCCATTCTGAGCGAGGTCAATTTTACCAGCACTCTTCTAAGAATTCTGTAAGCTAATCTTGTTTGACAAATTTCTTTCAGTGATAGTTCTGTAAGGCTTTCCTGCGATAAGACAGCTTTAAAACACCTATAACAATCTGTCTTAGTAATCCTGCAGTTTTAACATATCTAAAAATACTTTGTAGATGCAGTTATGTCACCACAATTTTTATACGTTGAAAACATATGATAATAAGAAAAATAGAGAGTAGAATCTATAAAAGAAGTTAAAGTATAAACAGCTAGCTTAATTATTTCACCTAATAGTACTGTTTGGTGGTCATGAAACTTCTGTTTCTATTTTCTTTATCAGCACCAACTGTTAGATTGCTTGTTGGCAACTGTTCTGATGCTTATACTTTATTTGATTCTGCTAATTTTTATCACTGGCTAAGATTTCCAAATAGTGTTGGATGCCTTCTCTTTTTTTTTTTCCTTTTTTTTGGCTGCTGTTTGGTGTAAATTTGTTTCTAGTTTATTGTAAAGGAATATCTTGTAGACTTTAAAACAGTTTAGCAACTTAAACATTTAATTTTCTTCTAAAATCGTTAAGTAAGAAGGAAGTCAATTTGCTCGTGGTAATTTTTGTCTTTAAAATTTCAGTCGAACACTTCGTTGTTGTAATTCTTGCTTGTTTTTTACAATATGGTCAATCAATTTGAAGCGAATATATCAGTGGCTGATGAGCTCGCAAAGTACAAGTATGAGACTGCAGAGAAAAATTATTGTGATTGGGAGGTGACTAAGGAAGTAGAATATTGCATAAGACATTTCCGTTCAGCCGTCTTGAGTAGAAATAACGACGAAGTTTTCTCTGTAATTTCTTCGTTGATTCCCGTAAGTTTATATTTGCTATTTTTTGTACCAGGAATAATTATTTAAACTAACTTTACGTTTTCTTTTCTTTTTTTGAGCAGTTTTTTCTCTTTTGACAATAAGATTCGTTGTATTGTAATTGTATTTAAAGAACTTTGTTAGTTTAATCTGTATCTTTTTTCGTTAGTATTTTTCAAATTGGCAAGCGGACGCAAATTGAAACAATAATTTGCTTAAAATTTTGCTTTCGCTTTTATTTTAAGGTTGCTGCTACATCTTGCAGCAAATGAACCTTTTCTAAGCAAAACTGAGAGCTATATTTTACCCATTTTGAGGTTGAGTAAAAAAGGACAGTAATATTGTTTTTCTGCTATTACGATAAGCCAATCCCGAGAAAATTTGTCTAAATTATTTGACGGCACACTTGCAACGTAGGTATTTAATGGAAGAAAGGAAGCTTAAATTACAGTGTTCAGTCAGAATAAAAGGCGCAAAATTAACGCGTATTTTTATGTGACAACAGCGAAGTGACCTTGCAAACTGCTGGTCTGACTTTGACTCGCTTTTTATAACTGCTTATTTTTCACTCAAACGCACTGGTGGCCATGGACGTTATAACAAATTAATAATTTTAAAAAGTTATTACATTAGTGTCATTTGTACTTGCTAGCACTTATTGTAAATGTTTTATACCTAGACTGATTATTCGAAAGTGAATTTTGGACATTGAATAGGGATTTAATTATTGAAGCCGGCAAGAGAACTGAATTCTTTCAAATTAGGTTTTGGAAGATTCTTTGGTAGAATTTTTCTGTAAAAGTGTACTCCTCTTTTAACTACATGGAGTAATGGGAGTAAACTGTATTTATTCGTTTGCTAGGTGATTCATTTTATTTTAATCGCTAGTTGTAAGTGAGTTAACAAAGAGGATTTAATCTGCTACAAAGATTATCTCTAGTCAAGCTATGAAACAAGTAAAAATATTTCTTGTAACCAATGCTGGCTACTTGTGTTTGCGCTAAAACGTAATAGGTGTCTTGTAATATAGTGTCCTCCGCTTTTGCACAGTGCGGGCTGTGCTACGGTCTCACTTTTTTTTTCTCTACAAGAATTTGCTAACTACAAATAATAGTTCTGCTTTTTAATAACTGAAGGTACAAGAGGGACAATTTTGTTTTGCGGAAGCAGTTTTTTGCTCTTCTTACTGTTACAGCTATTTCCAGCTGTCAGTCCAGCGAGGAAGTGTTGCTGAATACTTTTTGTTAACTAGGGCAGTTTGGAATAACAACTGGTATTTCCAGACCGAAAACGCTGGCTTAATTACATCTTTGTTACTTACAATGCCCCGTTTGGATCCGTGGAAAGAAGCATTATTATTATCGATTACTACTGGTAGCAGACCTTTGGTTGAATTTATACTTCAACTGTTTTGTGAGTTTCCAGGCGAGGAATACAAAGGTATGTAATCTAGTATTTAATTTTAGTTAGCTGAAGCACAGTTCCTTAGGGCATTATCTGTTGTTTTAATTTCCATCGATTTATGTTCAAAGCACAGGACACGAAAGTCGCATGACAAAGAAAGATGACACATCAAAAAAAAGAGAAGTGCTTTGAAAGTCAGTATTTAATCTTGATGAAAACGCTTAAAAAGCTGGGGTAGATTGGAAAAGCGATGTGCAGCCTATGGAAAAGATGTTCATGAAAATTACGCGGTAGAAGAAATCTTTGTAAAGTATGACTACATTATTTTAAATTACCGGTTACTACCTCAGCGGCGCCAAGGCGAATTGATATCTTTCCGAAATTCTCTTCAATCGTCTGCAAAGAAAACCTTGACAAGACAAGTGTTGTGGGCTCAGGTTTTTTTAAATGAATTTATAAACGTAATTATTACTGTTAATGGGGCATTTTTTTGCAATTTAAGAGAAAAAATGACTGAAAGAGGTATTGGGAAAGAGAAAATTTTTGTAAAAACCGTTGGGCCAATTAACACCATCGTAGAGCACAGCTGTGATGTAATCCTTGCGAAACAGTCCAGATCTGTTTTTGGAACTTTTGGTCTTTATAAAATTAAGTAGAAGCTTGGCAAAAAACTGGCAAGTCTCTTGTCAAAGTGGATTTGGAATAGACTTATTTGGTTTTTTTGAAGTGAGGAACTTGCGTGGTAGTTTTAATCTCTTATTTGGAACTTTGTAAATTATAGCAGCATCGTGAAGGAACAAAGCATTTAAAACCTTGGAATCGCTGTGTAACTGCCTCTGACTAAACAAAGCATTCTAACGAGAATTTTTTCACTAGGCACCAGTTTCTGCATCAATTAAGTTTAGTTTCAGAAAAATGCCAATCACATATTCTTTGTTTTTTCTTCGTTTGTTAATACTTTTAGTCCACCTTATCAAATTGGACCATGTTTTTGCTACAGTAACACTCACCGGTTGGAAGTGTAGAAAGAAGTTCTAATTCTTTTTTATATAAACGAGCCAAATTTTGAAGGTTGAATATTACAAGGTTTTCGATTTGCGTTTTATTATCAATTCTTTTATTTCAGTGTACTTTTTACTGATTTACACTATATTTCTTGATAGGGCAACGTTTCGTTACTTCTGTAAGTGTTCGTTATCGGTGTTATTTACTTAGAAATTAGGACAGTTTAGGAATTCACACTTTTTAAAATTTATCTCTCAAGTTATGGTCAGTTTTAGCAGCCCGGAACTCGCCGACTTTTCCACCACATATGACACCATTGATGCTAGCTTGTATATGTAACAACTTCGCGATAGTAGAGTGTCTTCTTTTAAGAGGGCATTCGATTGATCTACCCCACAGAGCTGACTGTTAGTTTCTTCTTTTTTCAGTAATCCTTCAAAAGAACTTTTTCGCTTCTCTTCGGTAGAAAAAATCTATTAGTAGCCTTCGAAAAAAATTTCTCATGCGTTTTTTTAAATCCTTATTTTTTGTTTACTTCATTGTCTAATATATTTAGGCGGGTGTTGTGAATGCTTAAGTGGAAAAGTTACTTTGGCTTCAAAGTTAGCTAAGCTTGATACATATAAAGCTATCTGTAGTGATGCGTTTTTGTGGCTCGGTTGTCCTGATCCTTTACTTGCAGCATGTCAGCTTAGCAAGGATATGGAAATTGGCCTTAGTTTTGAGCAAGAATATAAAGTGTTTTCGATATTTTAACTTATTTTTTATTTACATTTGGTTAATTTTTCAACGAAAGTTTCTAAATTTTTGCTAGAAAAAACGTAATAATTTTTACGTTATTTTGGCCGTCAAAAATCTTATGAAATTTTTTTTTTTGATTTCTTTAGGAATGCTATCTACGTTTGCAGACCAGTGTATCAGCTTTCAGCCTGAGTGTTGTAGAACAATGCTGGAACACTGAAGAAGTTAATTTATTGCTAACTCAAAAGCATGGCGTTACAGTTGCTGAATGTGACGCAAAAATACCGAGAGTTCGACTTGCGCTCGATTGTCATATGAAATATGTGAGGCATTTCATAATTTATTCTCATTTTGTGATGCAGGTTTATTATAGTACTTATTTTTCAGTTCTTGAGTGGTTTAAGTGTTCAAAATGCTGTAAAGGACTTGTGGGTTGGTGGTTGGAAGGCGGGTGGTCAGAGTTGTTGCGCTCAGTTTTTCATGATATTGAAACATACGGTCGGTTATCCTGTGTTTGCCACTCTTCATGCAATATCTGCTGGTCAGTGGTGTGCATCTTTCAATTGTCCTAAGGCAAGGTTTAGTATTTTGTATCAATTTTAAAATTTTTAATTTGTGTACAGAGTTTTATTTTTATTTATTGCTATTTTAATTGTCGTTTAGTATAAAAAATATTTGTAGTTTCTTATTTAGAAAACGCCAGTAAACAAAAAAATTTGTTAAAAGACTTGGTTCTTTTTCAACCCTTTTTCAATTTTTCGGCTTTTTGTCGTTCCCTAATGATTATTCTTATGACAATCTGAGACGTCGTTTACTTTTTGAATTTGGGGTTTCAAGGACACATAGTTTTTAGTAAAGTACAATACCTTGGGAAGAGTTACCAGAAAATACTACGAGTTACGTAACGGGTGTATTCATAATCTGTCTTCCTCCTTCAACAAATACAACCTAAAATAATTCTTTTTGCTAGGTACTTGAGCTCGTTGTTTAGCTATGTAGTTTTTCTGGGCATGTTAATGTATCTTCGTTACCCCGGTAGAGTTGGAGAGGATGCAGTCAAACGTACTTTGGATAATACTTGTAAGTTGGCTCCTCACTAATAACTTTGATTTAGCCTTCGATCAACAGTAACATTTTTGAGGCATCTTTATTTGAGCATAATATGAACAAAAAAAATTTCAGAGATAAGTTTGGGTTTGTTTTAGGTAACTCTTGGGAAAATTTGGAATCCTTTCTGTTTTCAAAATTAATTGGTGTTGCTTAGTTTCTCAAGGAGAACTTTACTAAAATTTTTATTTCAAATTTGTTTTACGAGATGGAAATAATTGTCTCATTTTTTAAAATTTTTATTCGTATTATAATTTTTAGTAACATCTTTTGTTTTGGAGTGCTACGTGTATTTATATGCATTTGGTATGCTTGCTGGTCATTACCTGGGAATGGTTTATAGAGGAATGATCAGATTTTACGAAATGTGGTGGCGATGGTTATTTTTTCGCTGTGGTTTTTTATACCTTGATTCTTCTGATATAGTTTCTTACAAGAATTTTATTCATTTTTTACTGACTAATATCAGTATAATTCAAGGAAAATGATTTAGGTTTGATGTAATATTTTTCTGGCTTTTCTTTGGGTCGTTCTTCTGCCATCTCATGACTGCTGTAGCAGTCGCTCAAGATGGACTGGCGCGAATTCACCGCAAACATTGGGTACCACATAATTATATTTCAGGATTTTTTGTTTATTCATTAGCTCATTACTGGTTTCATCAGTAATGTGTGACTGTATGAGGTTTTAATAATTCAGGTTTTTTATGATTTTTCACTGATTTTTGATATATATTTTGGTGGCGCTTGTATAATGGCCTTTTGGCGAATATTTTATTACGTACAGTTGAATCGCAGTATTGGTTTGAAAGTGGTTAGTTTGTTATCGTCGGTACATTAGCAGATTATCTTTTGACAATGAACTGTCGTTGTAAATCTTACGTATATTTCATTCTCTGGAGTATTTCGAGAAATCTGGCTACGGGAATATGCAGGAAAAATTCTTATGTTAAAATTTAATTTTTTTCAGCATTTTGAAGTTTTGTAACCTCCACATTTTTTATATTCTATTGGTATTTGAAATTGCTTCTGAGTTCTGGTTGATATGTTGTCAAGTTATGTCTGTTGACATTTTTAGATATCTATTGGACATTGCGTCTATCATGTTGTCACTTTTCTTTGGATTATGGCAATTGTTACTTTGTGTTTCGCTGTTGGCATAAATATGATTTATGAAGCGTATTCCGGTAACGAGGTTCTTTCTTCTGATGGTCCGGTTAAAATGAGAAACACTTTTTCGAAGTAACGTTTTTTTGCTTTTGTAACATAATTAAAGTCCTCTGCTTCAGGAACTTCTGAGACTTCATATTTGAAAAAGCAGCGCTGATTAGCTGTCGGAAGGTAGAGCTAGGGGAATCAGGGTACCAAAGTCTTTTAACAAGCCATGTCTTTTGTTGGTTTACACATACAGTACACATTAGGTTGTTTAGTGTAAAGCCATCGTGAGCGTTTAACGTAATGTGATTTAAATGCTGAAGCATTCGTTCCGCCAACCTCCTCTTCTATTAATTTTATTTTCCTTAGTTTTAAAATATAGTTTTTAAATGTCATTATAATTGAAGCATGATTACGACTTTTCGAATACTTTATTGGGCCTTTTATGGATATTTGGGACCCTGGGATTACTCACTAGTAGTTGGTAATGCTGGGCCTCAACAAGTTGAAGTCAATCATTGGTTTACTGTGTTAGCTGGTGAAGTTGTTGTCGGGATTTACCATATTGCTGTTATTCTTGGATTAGTCAATCTTATGATATCATTTTTGGTACGCACAACAGATGAAGTGCAGGTCAAATTTATGCTTTTACCTGCTTTAAAAATGTAATTTTGAATTACTGGAACATTTTCTAATTTTAAGGCAAGAGCTCGCCTTTGAAAAAAAGAAATTTAAGTTTTTTTGGTACTGTTACTTCATATTGCAGTTCTCATTTTTTCACTCATTTACCTTATTGGTCTGCATATTTTATTATTTTATTCATAGCTATTCATCTGAGGATCCAGTCAATTACGTTTGAAGCTTTGACGTTAATCTGAATTACTGACGGATAAAACAGTTTTAAAATTGTCTTCACCGTAATTTCCAAGTTCTTCTAGCTTTTTATTTACATTTACTTACAATTAAAATTATGTCTGTTATATAGCCGATGGTGTACGGAAAAATGTAAAAGAAACAAGTACACTACAGATGCGGAAAGTATTCATAAGCAGAAACATTATACCTGTGGAAATTTAGAGTTGAGATTTTTTATATGTAAAAGGATCTTGTGATAGTAACGAGGTTTAAGCTTATTCACAGCGAGCTTTTGCTTTAAAGGTTGCTTTTGAAATGCCGAGCTTAGTGTTTCTGTTGCGACTTGTGAATAATTAGCTGTTTAATTATAAATCTTTAGAAAATCTCAGTGTTTAAGTAACTTAAAAACGTTTCTTACAACTGGAAAGATAAATGAGCTAGCGCTTTTACGTTGAAGCAGGAAATGTATTTTTAGAACACAAACAAAGCACTTAGAGGCATAGTTAGGGTTGAAATATAGTTGGGAAAAAATGAACAAAAGATTGAAATACTCTGCGACCTTAAACGACGTTAAGTGCGGAAACTCACTAGCTAAGTATTAAGCATAATTTTTGTTTGATAGATGTCTGTCTAAATAAGATTTTGTCTTTTCATCAGTTATCATTTTCTATTCTTTACTGTTTAGGTTTCTACAACCTAAACTTCTGCTATGTGTTTCTGATAATAAGTGATTCTAACGATTTATAATTTAGGAGAATGAGGACATAGAGTGGAAGTATACACGTTGCCATATCTATGCGGAGCATCTCGAGTGGTATGCTGCTGTTCCACCGCCATTCAACTTAATCCACATTTCTGCTGTCTTTATTTATCGTTTTTTGAAGTCAGACGAGTTTCTTTGTATTTTCCCAGTAAGTATTTTAGACTCGCAAAATGCGGTGAACATTGAAACAGTTGTTAACCTTTGTTATGGTAGAACTTTTTAGGAAATTTCTGTGCGTTGGAAATATTTAGAAGTCGATAAACGAAAAAATGATGGAGAGGAACGTGAGTATGAGGTAAGCAGTAAATTTAGAGGACACTTTCATTGTGCCTTAAGTCAAAATTGCATTGCCCCAGAAATCGCCTGAGCGTTCAGTCTACGAGACTGCATCTATTTACAAGTAAGACATCATAGCTCCTAGCCAAGTTTAGAAAAAATTGTTGTTTACTGAGATCATCTTGTTGTTTTCAATGTACCCTCAAGTGATGGAAAACGGCACCACTTTTATTTATTTATTTGTGCCGGAGAGCATTTGGAAAAAGGTTTTACGAGCCTACTTCTTGGGCAGTATCGTTTATCACTGGTCTTTTACAGGGTTATGGGTGGTTTATTCTTATCAAATGATGTAGTGATATGATAAGTTAAGGGAAAGTTTACAGGTTAATAGGTTAACAACTATCAGGAGGTAGTGACAACAATGTTTGACCATTTTAAATCCCCACAAAATCAAATATTCGGACTCTCATATGTGTGACAAAAGGTAGCTTAAACTTTGATTTTTTTATTGCAGGCGTTATTGTTCAAATTATTTCGTCGTTACCGTGAGTGGTTAAGAAGACGGTTCTCTTCGACACTGCATTTAGATTCAGACGAAATACTAAAAAGCGTATTAGTGAGCTTTTTTTCGCAACTTCTATGATTCACATAAGGGTGTGACATACTTATTTTCATTCTACCTCACTCAGTTTTCAACTCGCTTTTTTCGCTCGATCTTGTGTTTACTGGTCAAAAAATTTCATTTGTGATCGCATTTAGAGTATTAATGGTTAGTAAAAAGTATATTAGATACTTCTTTGTAACGCGCAGCAAACGTTTAAGAATGATTATTGATACCATTGCTGGTGTGGATACGGTTTCGATTTTCACTTAGAGCTTGAGTAGAAGAGGCGAACATTACGAAACTGTCTTTGTTGCTATGGGTAGTTCACTCTTTCAAGTAACTGCAATTCATTTGCTGAAAGATGAGATTTTCAGCGGCAAAGAGTTGGTCCTGAACCTATCCTAGCTTTTATGAACAAGGATGGCGGTGACACTCAAAATTATGGCGAAATGGCGACGGAATCTTTTTATGAAGTGGAGGGCTTGCTACGAAACAACAGTGGCTCCTCGTGGTTCGCTGTAAATGAAGAAGACGGTCTTCCTAGTGGTGGAAGCAGCCGGTTAAATTCGATTATGGACGAAGAAGGATAGCGGTGTAACCACTGTTTTGACGGTATGCGGTGCTTGTAAGAATACTTGTTGACGTTGGGACTGTTTTTAGTGAACAAAACTGCTCGATAGTAGTCTTGACAGATGATTTGAATTTTTAACCTCAGGTGATTGTTGGTGTTCAGGTTGTCGTTTTTTGTTTAAATTTGTTTTTGCTTGTTTAGCAGTGAGTGATGTAGTATGAGAACGATGCTCGATTCCCTACCTCAGAATAGATTGTGAGTAGCTGTTTGATCTGCTGGTTGTGACCATATGGACTAGTTTTTACGTTTGAGTTGATCATACGTAACCAGAGGAGTATAATAAGAATTTTGTTAGGACGTAGTTCATTTAAATTCTGCGTTATGACGGTCATTTTGAGTTGCCTTGTTTGCTTGAGTTATCTCGCGTATTGCAGATGCAAATAAAACTTATCAGCTGGATTTAGTGAAGTTTACACTGAGCACACTACAAATAACATGATGATTCGACACTATCCTTATTTCAGATCGACTCGGCTAATAATTAAGCCCTCATACATTTTGAATAGATACTTTTGAACAAACGAGTATTCTGCTTCAAAGACCGTTGTGTTTCTCCAGCAAAAAAGTTTCTTTTATTTTTGCATTAGTGGGACGCTGTAGTATGAGTAGATTTTGTTTCATTCGATTGCAATCGCAACTACTGCACGCGAAATACTTAAGACGAACTATAAGCTGGGTTTAGGCTTGAGTAATATAGGCATCGTTTAACTACTGAAATCTGATGTTTACGGAGCAACTAACCATTATCCAACTTCATTTCTGATTTACTTTTGCCGTAAGGAATTCTTTGTCTTTTTTTTTCGCATTTCCATATAAGGAAGTTTTAGAGAATTTGTGGCGTTTTTTGTTGAAATTCTTTTGATAAGCTGATTTGATGATAAATTTTTAGCAAGACAGCCTTTTAGGCGAAAATGGACCTTAAGAAACGAAAGAACGATTCAGAGAACTGCCAAAGGAATAGGCTGGTGACAACGAAGTTACATTCCATCATTAGATTTAAAGAGAAAGATTACGTCAACGGTCCAATCTTCAAGAAACCTTTTATCAATTGGGAAAGTGGTTTCTTTTACTTCTTTTCCTCTCTTTTTTTACACTGATTTAACGTCTCAAACCAACGAGATTATGGGAAATGATGTAGCAAGTTCGCATATGAAAACTCTCAAAGTCGAAAGAAGTCCCTATACTAAGATTTTGAAAGAAACTGCATCTCAAGGATTGCCAATAGGATCACACGATCAATGAAAGAACATTCGCAATTACATTAATATTTTTACAGTTTAAAAGGTCTTGGACTTGAAAATGGACAATAAAAGGGCACGTACGGCTTACCGAGAAATCGTACAACAACTACTGCAGAGCCAAACGATTTATTTTTGTGTCTTGTTTTTTCTGTACGCATCACGCCACTAAGCCTATGGTACTGCTTTAGATGCACCTGCTTTGTTATACTGCTTATGTAAGAAATTGGGTTCGTACCAAGGTTCTGGACGTCGCTTAGAAGGTACTTGTCATTTCGATAATCCTGTAAGTTCATGTGGAGAGCGTCGTTCAGTTCAACTTTGCAGTTGGCAGTGCTGATGCCAAACGCTTTTTTAAAATGGCTTGGCTTTACATTTTTTTCCTCCAACAGCCTTTATATTACCTTTAGCCGTTCCACTCCCATTAAGGTGGTACGCAGATAAGCCATTTCAAGCTTTGAAGTTTTTGAAGCGAGACTGATTACGAGTAAAATGCAATGAGGGAGGACTTGCGGATCGGTATCAATAAAATGTTGCGCTGGAAAAATGAAGTTTTTAGATTGTCCGTAAAAGCTTATTGAGAGACATCGAAGTGACAGGGATGCTCCAATAAAATCTATTGTTTTTTTCCAGCATGACTCGACGTAAGCATACTGTAGTTTTATCTATTAACTCCAGCATGTTTTTTTTTTTTTTTTTTTTTTCTGGATTTGAAGAACTTTGCATAAATAGTTTTAATAGTTCAGTAGACGTCTGATAGGTTTTTTTTCTCCCAAATTATTCAGATGTCTCTCAAGTATGAACTCGGCCTTACTATCACGAAGTCACTGTAAAGGAGATTTTAGACAAGCCGGAAGCTCTAGTGTTAGGTTTGTCTTCCGAACTGATACTGATCTACAAAAATCCTTTCAAGGTCTGGCAGAAGTCTCCAAGAGATAACATTTCAAACATTCAGTAAAATAGTTGAAATCCAACACCTCTTCTAGATGCTCGCAGGTCACCACAGCGTTGTCTCTGACAAACTCCTTCGCCAGCAGATCAGCAGTATCAATTCGGAAGACAAGTCTAACACTAGAGCTTCTGGCTAGTCTAAAATCTCTTTTACAGTACCTTAAAGATAAAAAAGTAATTTATACTAGGAAATACGGAAAGCCGATCAGATGTCTACTGAATTGTTAAAACCATATGTGCAAAACCCTTCAAGTCCAGAAAGCCTATAAACAAATAATGTTACCAATCCACTCATTCTATTTTACTCGTAATTAACCCCAAAACTTTAAGGCTTGAAATGACTTGTCTACTTCAATCGGGAAAAAACAGCTAGTGAAACAGCAATAACGAGACTGTCGGGGAAAGAGAAAGAAAGTGCAGAGCGGGGCCATTTGCACCAGCAGTGCCACTGTAGTTCGACTGGATAATGCTGGCTACGTCAGTAGCAAGCGCTTCCCAAGCAGCGTCTGAAACGACAATCAACAAACCTCGTAAGACAAGCAAGGTGAATGGTTGGTCAGTTAGGTAGCAACAAACATTTATCTGGATTTGAGCAAATTACAAGTGAAAGTAAGGGTTGATATGTTCAATAAGGCACAAAATAGATGAATCACAGTGAACAGGGAGGCGAAGATGAAGCGAACGGAAGGAACAGCAGGGAGACCTCGCTCTGCGGGAGAGTGACTTTTGAAAGTGCGGTCTCGGCGTGTGTCCCTGTGTGATCGTAACGCATTGTCAAACACAACGTGGCCCACGGAAGCAGACAGCAGACGGTAGCGATTCAGCTTTCAAAAGCCACAGGAAGAAATTAAACAAGTCTGACAACACAAGGGAGAAAGACTAGCCTTCATTAAATTAAAGCTAACACCAAGAGTTACATCCTTATTTGGTAATCCCCATTCTGCGTAACATACCGTACCCACGGTAATGCTTGGTATCCGCTTTTCTCGATGATTTTCAAATAGCGAACCTGTAAAATTTCAAATTATAATTTAGGAAAGAAACCATGAAGGAATATGAGAGAAAGACGTTAACCTGTAAGCCACTGGTAGTGAAATAGGGAATTTCGAACTTCACATTTATTGGAGGTCTACCCTCATTTTCTTCACCAGAGATCGACGGCAAGCTGAAGTGGGCACGCATAAGGTACTCTCTACCGCCTAAACATCAGAAGATATCGGGGAACACGACACAATGAAAGTAACCAATAAAAAATCCGTGGCAAGACTTACCGGGAAAGCTCCGTATAGTCCATACAAACGCGCTTAACTCTGGCACATACTTTACTGACCCAACGGATGTTTTAAATTTTGGAGAATCTGCATCACTTTGCACAGGGATGATAACTTCAACGTGATTTGCAATTGACTGGCGTTTAAACTGCGACTTCGCCTAGAGCAAATATATGACAAAGAAGTCGTACACCTCTCCAAAACAGTGCATATGGCAATAACTCTCAAAAATGACGCACTTACTAGTGCATCATTTCCTTCTCTGCTATAAAGTCATTTACCAGCAATCGCCTAAAAATTTTATCCTGAAAGTTGTTTCAGGGCGCAATACAAAACCTAAGAAAAAGAACCCAACTTTACCGGTAAAATACTAACACAGGAAAACCCTCGCTTACTTTCACCATATATTCAACTCTGGAGTGCGCGAACCGTTCCATATGAGCTTCAACCCAAATAAGTGGCTTCACAGTTGTTGTTAACCGATAACTCATCAATTCAAATTCTCCATCAGGTGGAACAAAACTAATTGTGCGGTCATTTTCGAAACGAGATAATCTAACACACTGGTGGAACTTCACGTCCTCCAATTCTACAGCCTTGCCTCGGCCTCCTAAATCAGTTAGTACTCCACCCTGACAAAAAAAACTGACCAAGAGAACAACTTGTCATTTTGAGCCACCTGTCACAACAAGTGAAAAGTTCTTTTCAAAATGCCTATCACCCGAACCCTACAAACACATACAAACATAGAGAGGAATTGACATGAAACTGTCACGGAGAAACTTTTCTTGGTAAAAGCAAAGAAATTTGTCTTGATAATTTAGTCAGTCTAAGCGGTTCTGTACCTCAAATATGAAAACCGCTCCTTTAATCCTAACCAGTAAGTCTTGTAACGAAGCTCACACCAACACTAAGCAATACAGATACGCCGAAGGGGCAAAAGGACAGAATACAGGAAACTATTGGAAGCCACTGCCGACTTTGCTCCTACCTTTAAGGTCTCTAAATACCACAATCCTCAAGCTTGCCTCAATAGTACTGTACAGTCAGTTGTATAGGTCCCGAGAAAATCTACGTAATAAGGGAAACAACGAGAACATTCGAAATCATTTCTTTCAATGACCTTTAAACACAAATTCAAATCTTCTGTTCAGAAATAAGCTTAGGAGAAAGATTTGGCTCCGAGCTTAGTCACCCACAAAAAAATTAACATGCGGAAGAGCCCAGTTCAAAGCACAATGCATTGCACGACAGTTTATTTTTCGAATCAGCACTTCTAAACCTTCCGCATAAAGCATCAATAGTAAAAATAAAATAAGGGAAGAGGAAACTCACGTGACGTGGCTTGAAACAGAACCTTATCGTTTAATCCTAACCTTAGTTCTGGCATTCCAGATAGCAAAACTCGCATACGTATAGAGCCAACAATTTCACTCCGCAAGACTGTCCCGGACGCATTTGCCTTGAAAGGCTTACAGTTACACTGAACTTTTTGAAAGTGTGAATCAAGTTTAGTCGGTACTAACAAGCATATTGACAGATTCTATGACATCCAGGAAAACTTCATTTTTTCGATACTTTAGACCATCTGATCTCCAAGAAACTGCATTGGTAACTGCCATTGGCGGCCTTGGAGCAATATCCAACATATATCTCTCTTGCGTAATGTATCTGAAATCATGAATATAAGAATTAAAGTAAAATAGAAAAGTAAATATTATTTCATCTTACTCCTGCAATATGCGACCTTCTGTAGTCTGCGGATAACCAAAGTCCAACATCTCATCTAGCAGCTCATAAATCACCACAAAGTTATCTCTGACAGACTCTTCCTCCAAATCCTGGAAAAATCTCACGTAACCACTGCTAAAAAAAAAAATCCAAGATTTAAAATCGTGTCGACGAAACTTTTTAATGCCCACCATTAGTTAAGTGCTTTCATTTACAATGTCTGTTTACAAAAAAAATTACTGAGCAATAACCTTAAAATATTCGCTGAAAACTTCCACACATTTATAAAGGAAAGAAACCATCATGCCAATATTAATGTTCCTCCGTGCTACTGACACAACTAAAAAAGTGATTTAAAAAATACTTGAGTCAAAAAATGTCCGTAAGACAGAGCCATCACTCACCAGGTTTTTCATTCAAAACTAAAATAACTGCCAAAATGCTGAATCAAAAATGAAATTGTCTTTGGAGCTTTATTCACACACATATACCTAAAAATAACCAACAAGAGACCAATAACTGAACCTCATACTCATATTCCTTAAAACATTTTTTTAAATTAAAATGTTCTTTAAAGATTTAGCTGATGTCGAAAACAAGTGGTTTATGAAATAAACTACAAACTGCCCGTGATATATGCAACTAAACTGACGATCATGTGAAAACAATAAAGGATTAATGCTTAAATAATACTCCTCAAAAAATCACCTGAAATTCATAAAAGATAAAAGACGAGAACAATAAAACAAAGACTCACGAAATATATTCATATGTTTCACGTAAACGAAGCTAATGTTATTTTTTACTAGAACAGGAGACAATTGCCCATCATCCTCCTTTTCCAGCATTAACGGCATAAACCAGTCGATTACCGACATTTCCACATCCCCCCGATAGTTCCGCGACATAATTACCTGGAAGAATAATAATAAGTAACATGCCAAAAACATAAAAGATTTGAAAATTCCATACGTTTATAACTTCCCATTCTTCAACAAAACTTCGAAGGAACTTACATTCCCCTTCAAATCCAGTATAAATATTGCTGAGCAAGACATTCTTGACACAGCCTAGCAGAATCCTGGAATAATATGTTTTACAAAAACAATATGTAGTGATAACACTCTCGCTCAAAGCTGTGTCACAAACTGCAAGTATCATTGATTCGTGGCGACTGTTTTACAAGAATAACTACTTCTTTTTTTTATTGCTAATGGATTGGTTTTCAAATATTACCATAAAATTTTTTACAATTTCCGACCACTTTTTTCTGGAAAAACGAATGCTTTTGGAAAAATTTTTCTTCTTGAAAAGGTTTTACCAGAAATATGTTGTATTAGCTTTCACCAACCAGATTAATTTTAAACAGGACAATCACCACACATACATGAAGTTAGCAAAACCAGAAAGACCATCGAAGACCGAATTAAGTAGTAAAAACATACAAGTGCCATTTTATTGATTCAATTCATGTCAAAAACCATTTAAGAATATAAACAAGAGACACAGCTGCAAAATACCGAACATGAATCACTGACGTAGTCAGCACAGAAGAAACTAAACATCTAAATGACAGAGCAGACCAAACTGAAGGTTATGCTAAACAAATTCCTTGCTGGCAAGTAATAGTTGCCACAGTGACAGATATAACCACGTGATTCACTTACTGCCTTCAGCAAAACCAAACAGCCCAGGCAGCAACTAAACCACATCTATATTTTCTACGCATGTATGCATTCAAGCAGTTTCCATACATCAGACTATAATATCCGTCTACCTATCTGCGATGACCGACAACAATGATGCGCACGCGTATTGTAAACTATACGACGATAAAAAATTCAACGACGAAACTGATTTGTTGCCAACACAGCGGGCAAATTATTGCAGCACTATTTTTTAACCATAATAAACACCTCTATAACTCCTTATTTCTGTTCTGCTCTTCTTACGTTACGCAATTTTAGGTTCAGATATCTACTGAAAATTTGAATCGTTTAACCCTCTTTTAATATTTTTATCTCAGTTATTCTCCCTAATTCCCATACACCAAAAAAAAAAAAAAAAACTCGCTACGAGATGGGCCGCAACGGCAAACATCGAATCAGCGGATCATTTCCAATGTTTCTGTGCAAGCTCATTTAAATTCCAACCTTTATTCTCCACTGTAATACTCCGAAAAACCAAAACAAGCACCACTTTCCGAAATCGCAGAAGTAACACCGGATTTGAACAGGAGCACCCTAAGAAGCCTCTCGTCTGCTATCGGTGTTGCAACTGGCAGCTCCTAAGATGAATCCAGTCCCACTAGACCACAACAAGCAGGTTAAACGGTTAGCTACTTTCTAGACTGAGACACGTAAATAAATCACCACCTATGCAGAACTTAAAGTCCATACTGCACTCCCCACCTGATAAACTACACCCACACAACACACCCCATCGTAACTATACACACAACACCTCCCCACCCGACAGACATCCATCCAAAATTGTCTGAAACATTCCCTAGCCACAAAAGAACCAATTCCAGAATCACAGCACATCAGCAACCTCCAAAGCAACTCAAATTTCACAAAACCATTGCCCACCGCAACGCCACCCTAAACGACGTACTAGAAACACCATATCAGCATAAAACACTGCGCTAACCGTCCCAATACACTGATGTCTTCCCCCAGCTCTTCTAGCTCGGACTATACACAACCCTGAACTGCATTTACAAAAAGTAACTAAATTTATTACGCTGATCAACAGCTAAATTCAACAAAGGAAAGAAACAACTATCAAATTGCGGCTAAATAATCGCGACAGGCTAAATACACAGAGCAACCACGATTAACAGAAAATATACCGACCAACATTTACATTCAACAATGGAAAGCGCGATTACTAATTGCCGCTAAATAATCGAGGTAAGCTGAATTCTGTTTGAGGCCAAGCTAATGCCAGGTCATCATCGGCTGGCTCCTCTTCGTTTCTGCTAGCTTCCGGCTCGTCTAAAACCTCCGTACTTTCCTAAAAATAATACGAATATACCTTACTTTACAATAACTTCACGTTAATGTAAATCATAAACAGTACCACATGGCCGACGCTGCGCTCGGAGAACATCAACCTCATTCTTCTGATCCAAACCACGCCCCTGTAAAGTTTGCGCCAATTCTTCCTGGCCCTCTCACGCCGCCTCTAAACCAAACAGTAATTAAGTCGTGGTATTGCAACAAAAATAAACAACCAAAGAAAGAAAAGAACCAGAAAAACAATTTCCGACCTGCCTTGCCCTACTTTGCTTCTTTTCGTTCTCCTTTTTCCATGCTTGCCGCAGCTTCCTTTCATCCTTCTTTAAAACTGCACAGCCCTCAATTCTGAAACCAGCATAAAGATGACAAGTCTTTCAGCGCTTTAAGTTTACTAGCAAACAAGTCTTTCTAGTAAACCCAAAGCGCTAGAAGAAAACGACAATCTCACTATCTCACTTACACCGGGTGGTTGCCACCTTTATGAATAGTCCAACCAACTAGACATGGAGCACATTCAATGTTCAGCCGGCGGGCTAACCCATAGAGACCTTCTAGGCGGATGTATACACAGTCCTCTGGCAACATACATGGTTTAAACAAGTACACATTGCCGTGTTCATTGCGCGGAATCTTCCCCTAAAATTTTAATTCGACAGATAAGAAATACGTTTGCAAAACTAGAGAACGATCAGTAACCAACTCATACTAAACAGACTAACGTTCACAGGTTTTTGCGGTTTAAAAGGTTCAGTCTGCCAATGCCCGAACAGGGCAGTCGATTTCTTTCTCACAGAATTTTCTCTTCGAGTCTTCTTCTCTGCCGTCACCACTTTATATGGAACCTCACCGTCCTGAACCACATTCATATAAAAAACAAAAACTAAATAGTTGTCTTAGACTTAACAACAATTCCCCAAAACAACGTACTTTTACAGACCTAGCATCCTTTAACCAAATCACTGTGCTCTGCAGACTGTGCATGTCAGACCGAAGATAGACTTTACAGCCACGAAACTCGCCTACAGGCTTCGTATCAGGTGGGTAAATTGCGCAATGCTTCAGAACGTCTTTGTCCAAAACGTAACTAGAAATCAAGAAACATTTGTAAGCGACCATTTATTCCACACAAGTATTCCTCACGCTAAAAATGCGAGGAAAACGGGCTCATTCGACCTCTTTTGTAACTAACAGTGGATGGTTTTTGAACTCAGTGAATGTTTTCGGCAGCGGCTGCGACATCAGGTGCTTTCGAACTACTGAATCCTCTTGTTTGACCCGTTCAACATCTTTGCTACCGAAAATCTGTAAATTTTTGGCTATGAAATGTCCTATCGTGATAATAAAAGTTGTTAAAGCGGTCGACAACTGATATGCTTCTTAAGTTTTCTATGAAGATCCAAACGAGTATTCTGATATATGCCCCGTAAAGTAACCTCAAGTGTCTTATTCCACCATCTAGAGTCAATCCGATGAAGCCGCATGTCCCGACTTAGAAATTGAGAAGCATAACGTGCAGTAACATCTCGCAAGCCAAGAACTAAATATTATTAACCGCGCTATTATTTATACGATAATATTACAGAATAAAAATCCAAAAAAAGTGGCAGAATAACTTACCATTATCTACTGCAAGAACATAATATACAGGCCTAGAAGCTCCATCTTCGATAGAATCTGGATCATCTACGGTACCAAGCCATGGGTCGATACCTGAACCATGCTTACAATAAAAACAAACCATTGAGCAAAGTGAGATGGATGACTTCTCCGAAAAAGCAACTTACATATCCATCGCTTTGTCTCTGCGTTCCAAAACTCGATCCAATAGTTGCGCTCCAAATCGCACTCCTTTGCTCTAGCCTCATCCCGTGACTTCCTGCCTGTCTTTTTTTGAAAACCCTCTGAAACACGAGGCTTTTTGCGCTCCGGTTCCTCCGCAGATCCTATTTGGTTCAGCTCCTGCTCCAAACCGCCCTCTGACCTAAAATCCGAACCCCTAACTCTAGGACTGGTAATATCTCGAATCTTTTGGACCCCGGATTCTGAGCAGTCTGCCTTAACCACTGTATCTTCCGCAACTGACCCTCGTATTTCCTCCCTCAATAGTTCAGTGAGCTTCTAAAAATTAAATCGAATTCGAAGGACGACATATTCAGAATGCGAGAAACGGAAACTGAACCAGACCTTTTTGTGAGGTAGCGGCTGAATATTTAAGACTAGTCGCACCGACTTCTTCAAAACCAAAAGGCATAAGAACAAAAACTGAAATTTTCAGAATTAAAGCTAGAGTGTGCTCGTACCGAACCATGCCGAAGACGGGAGACAATAAAGACTTACCATTGCAGCGTCCCTGTCACTTTGATAAACCCTTGCTTCAATAAGCTTCTGTAGACGATACATCTAAAAAATTCAATACTCCACCAAGATGTTTTACTGAAACAAGCCTAACCATTTTTCTTTCCTCTATTTCCTCTGTAAACATTTTTTAAAACTTCAAAAAAATTATCTGCTTAACTCCGTTGGAAAAAAACTGCTGGTAGCAATAACAGGATGGTTAGAAAAAGAGAATACAGAGCGGAACCATCTTAAAACACGTTCAGCACCAGCAGCACCAAAGCCTTTCTTTTTAGCGTTAGCTAGAATACTTGATGGCATCATCGAAAAGACAAGTGCCTTCAAAGTAGTGTCTAGCACCATTGCACGAACCCAATGTCTCATGTGGGCAATATAACAAAGCAGATGCATCTAAAGCAGTACAATAAGCTTCGTGACGTAACGCGCAAAAACAAAATAGACAAAAAAAAAATAGCCCTACTACCTTATGAGAATTTGTCTGTCGCTGATTTAACTGTCGTACGATTTCTTGGCGAGCTTCACAAGCTCTTTTGTCCCCTCTGTTTTCAACTTTCGGACCTTTTTTAAC